TCCTTTCCTATGCACTGTGCTTATTTGGGCAGCAAATGTTCGGCATATGTAGCTTCACTTCTTATTTAGTTATGTAGCTTTCTCTATCCAAAGTCTATGATAGAAATATAATGATGATGTTCCAGATGAGTTTCGGTTCAAGTCTTCTAAACTCCTGACGTGTAAAACGCAGAGCGTGAGAAAATCCATATGAATCACATAGATGGGCCCTTTTGGGCCGACATTAGCAACCGAAGAGGCCATTTTGCATCAGTTGGAATACATGCTGAAATGAGCTATGCAAGTGAAGTGAGCCCACTTTTTTTGCTCTTTTTTGCAATTGCAATATATAAAAATGTCGTTACGCTGCCAAAAAGCAAAAGTGCCTAGATCTTCTGAAAATTACACCATCGACTGTTTCCAAAGAAAAAAAGGCAACATCATTCAATAAAAAATATATAAACTAATGAAAATAGTTCGTATAGGTCGTTCTTTCAGGAAAAGAAGATTAGCGCTTAGTCCTAATGCGTAAGGCGTTAACTTAGTAAATTGATACTTTTCTAATAAATTTTTGCCTAATGTTTTACATACAGTAACGAAAATCCTAAATTACGAAAATCTAAGCCACCATGGTGTTGGATAGATATAAACCCATATATATAGCATGGCGATAGCGATGGAAGAAATTAGATACGTTTTCTCTCCAAAAACGGTGCTATCTAGCTAGATCCACAGCATATATATGAAGATTCAGAAATGAGCTCCACATATACCAAACCTAAAATGACAGTACGATTTTCGGTGCACAGACACAACATAACCATAGTAGCACTAAAAACACGTGCGTGTTCGTTCGTTCTAGTTGTCTTCTTCCTCGATCTGCTGTTATCTCCCAGGAGATATGCGCGTGCTTTGCTGCAAGAGCTAGCCTGCAACTCGTGCTCAGCCATGCATATCTGGTTCTCGCAATGGACACATGCGCATTTGCCGGCCAAATCCTGCTCACGCGCAAAACGTGCCGTGTTCCATCCATGCCCATGCTGGCCAAGAGCGAGAGCCTAACGAAACTGACGTTAACGTGTGCGTGCGTGCTGCATCACTTCGAACTGGACTCCGTGCCGTGTACTGCCGAAACTTTCCTTTTTCGTATGTAGGCTTGTCAATGTCGATATCCAAACAAACGGTACGATATGAAACCAAAGTGATGATCCGCGTATAGTTCAGACATTTCTTGTTGAAATCTGCTGGAACTGGAAGTTGAATCTTTGCTTGTATCTTTCATTTTTCACGAGTTTTTGCTTGGATTTCGAAGTTTAAGAGACCGTAGTTAAATCCCTTTTTTTTCGCGAACTAGCCTTCATTCACGGCTCGTGTTTCATTAAGAAGGTGGTAGTAAACTAACTAGTAATCAAATCTCTGGTTAAAAAACCGTTGTAACAATTCCGTAGAAGGAATCCGACGTGTCAGCCAAGGCCTATCCGTCCAACTCCGTCTATCGATCAGTCGGGGGGCCGCCGCCCAACCGGGCCACGGCCCGCCGCGCCGGGATCCTACGGTGGTACCCACTTCCCCGAACAGGAAAGGGCCAGCGTGGCCGTACTCGCCCCGCACATGTACACGTTCCTCTCCCACGACGACGACACCACGAGGAGTCGAGGTCACGTCCCGCTCCGACGCAACGCGGCCCCCGCTCGCACTTGCACCAGCCCGGCGCCTGCCTCGTGAAGCGGCGCAAAGGCCACTCCGCCAAGCCTTGCCACTTCCATGCAACTGCCGACTGCCGACTGCCAACCAACCAACCGTGGCTACTACACCCTACGCGCTCGCCGATCTCCTCGCCCCGCCTAAATCTTAGGCGCGGGCGGCTCCGCAGCCGCAGTCCGCACAGGCAGCGCCGCACGGCCATTTCCGCTCGTGGCCCAACCCACCTGCCGCCGGCCGGCAGCTCGGCCGGCCGCCGCGTGACTGAACTGAACACGAGCTAGCTAGCTGTCCCAACTCCAGATGGATCCTGCTTCTCTTCCCTGCCATGCTCGCGTGTATTATATATACCTGGCCGTGCTTTTGGGGACGACGATCGATCCCATTCGTTCCCATCTGCTGCTGCTGGTTCATGGAGAGGGATTATTCGAGAGGGTCGTCGTCCATGGACACCAGCGGGGGCAACGAGGTGCCAGGGAAGAAGGCGAGGAAGCCCTACACCATCACCAAGCCCCGGGAGCGCTGGAGCACCGAGGAGCACGGCCGCTTCGTTGACGCGCTGCTCATGTGAGTTGTGACAGACCCACAGCCAGGAGCTAGCCTTCTGTTTCGGAAGCTTATCTCTGAATATTTTTGTTGTCGTTTTTCAGTATGAGCAGGAAATGGATTTGATGGTCATGAATTTTTTTCCCCCTCAGGTTTGGCCGCGACTGGAAGAAGATCGAGGAGCATGTCGGCACCAAGACAACCATCCAGGTACCGAATCCTCACTTCCTGATCGAAAGAAGCGTGTGTGTGTTTCGTACTTGCACTTGGGCATGCAGTACCTCGCTGAAGAACTAACACAACGCGGCTGCAGATACGGAGCCATGCCCAGAAATACTTCCTCAAGGTCCAGAAGCTCGGGCTGGCCGTCGGGCTGCCGCCGATGTACCCGAGGCGCCACCTCGCCATGCAGCAGCAGCAGAGCACGGCGTCCGGTAGCAGCTCGGCTGCCGCGGCTGCCATGCCATTGCTTAACGGCCGGCAACCTACGTGCGCGCCGGTGGCCATGCCAGGTCTGTCCGAGTCCGACGCCGTCGCTCACGGTTCCATCGGTTGGAACAGCCCCGGTGTCCTTCCTGCAGCCAGCAGCGGCAAGTGCCTTCTTTGTCCAGCCTGCATTTTTCAGAACGGTGTTCTCACGTTGCTGGCGTTCTCAATCTCACGTTGCTTCTGAACATTTTCAGAGATGCAAGGCTTGGACTGGGCAGGCCCGTCAGCTTCAGGGACAGCAGCACCTTCACTGGTGAACACCGACGCGCAGAGCCAGAGTGTGCCATTCACCGGTAATTTCGTCTGACGACGACTCTTGATTTCTGGCTATGCTTCTGCAGCCAAAACCTTGTGAAAACAATAACGTCTTCGTGCTCATTCAGGTGGCAGCCGGTTCATTGGGGCACCGAGCCTGAGCAGCAGCAGCATAGACTGGGCTGGCAGTGGCAGCAGCGCAAGTGAAGCGTCAGCAATTGGTGTCGTGCAGGATGAACAGATCGAACTTCCATTATCACCCGGTACGTACAACCTCCTTTCCAACACCAAACTCCGCTCGCGAACCGAAGTTGAGCTCGTGAAAGTGAAACAACATGATCGCTTCAGAAATAACCGTGAGCTGGATCTTCTTCTGCAGAGGATCTGCCGTTTGCGCAGGTGTACAGGTTCGTCGGCGACATGTTCGACCCGAACACGCCGATCTCAGTTGAAACCCATCTGCAGAAACTCAAGGAACTGGACGACATCACCGTTAAGACAGTGAGTAGCTCAGCACTAGGTGATTCCACACGGCTTCCTTTCCTGTTGTCGAGCTGAACCGAAATCATCTCCTGCAGATCTTGCTGGTGCTGAGAAACCTCGAGAACAACCTGTCAGCGCCTCAGTTCGAGCCTGTGGTAAGATAAGAAACACTTTCTCACTCTCTGAAACTGAAGCTGCCTTTAGCTCTGCGTCCTCCTAATTCTTTCCACCCTGTTTGCTCTGTTTTCAACAGAGAAGGTTGTTGTCGACGTATGATCCGACAAGAGGCCTGTCTGGCCAATTGTAGAGCGCAGCACCTTGAGACAGCCTGCGAAGTGGGAGGTGAAACTAACACAAAACGGATGGACGTTCAGGTGCTGCAGGAATGACAGAAAGAGAGGCTGAAACGCAAATAGATGGATAGACAGACACCGATGTGCCTGGTTTTCTGGCCGACATACACTAGAAGATGTTAACAATTCTTTTGGTAATCCGCTGTCTATAAAAAGCACTTACTTTTTACGTACCATGTTCCGTATACCGTTTGTTAAGGACTGGAGTAGTACACATTCTTCTAGCGTCCTTTGTAAAACTCGGGTGTCGATTCAGATGAAATTTGCGGGATTGTCAGGATACATGATGTGTGTCTGGTTCTCTGAATTTGTTTGGCGACAAGGATCCACGTCTGAACTGGACATGTGCCAGAACAGCAATGGATTTGCGCATATCTCCCACACCAAACTTGTTCGGAGAACTTGATCTACTCCAGCCGCGTTCAACATGTGCCGTATCGCTCGATCACGAACTACGCACGAGGCAGGATGCCTGCTGCTGGAGTAGTACCGTAACTTGTTCTTGTTCAGGTGCTGTCCCCCTGGCCTGCTGGGTGCAGCAGAAGAAGGCATGTGTTGTCGCTTCATTCCCCGGTTCAGGTCAGCGCAAAACAAGCGGCGTTCAGCGAAGATTTGTATTCTGGGCCCATCCTTATTATGGGCCGGACAAATTTGGCTCGGATTAGATGCTGGGCCTAACCTCGTGGGCCGATTTGGTTTCCAAAGCACTCACTTCAGGTTCTGTCACTTTGCAATTTCAAGGTACGACCTCTCAAAACAAAAAAGCAATTTCAAGGTATGAGATGTAATGTTTCTCAAAAAAAGGTACGAGATTTAATATCATAATAAAACACACACATAGTACTGTATTACACTCGGCTTGTATATACGACTGGTATATAATAGTGCATGGTGGTACATACGCCGAGCACGTTACATGAACATGACCATTATTTTAGTTACTGGACTGACACACACACACACACGTCTCACTTTATTCCGTAGACAAATAACGACTACAGTACGTCACACGGTCACAGCAGCACTCGTATTGAACGTACACACGTCTGCTTGCACTTTATTTAGTTTGTAGGAAGTGTGTGCAGTGCATGTTTAGCTACAGCTAGCAGGATACGTACGCGGCTGCCGGCTGGCAGATACGTACGTAGAGCCGTAGATGTAGGTAGCGCGAGAGCGTTGTTTGTTTGGATGGCTTCACTTCCACTTCCTGAACTTGCCGCCGCCGAACATGCCGCCCTTGTGCTTGCCGCCGTAGCTGCCGTGGTGGCCGCCGCCATGGCTGTGGCTGCTGTGGTACGACCCCATGTGCCCTGATGATGAGCCGAAGAAACGGTAAATGTCACAGAATTCAGAAATACTGTACTTATTATATACGGAGTATTTATTTATATAGAACGTATATACACGTAGTGCTCCCGTACCGTAGTGCGCCGAGTGCGGGGGGTAGGCAGCGGGCGGGTAGCCGCCGTGCGGAGGAGGGTACGCGCCGGCGGCTGCCGGAGGAGGGTACGCGCCGGCGGCGGCCGGAGGAGGGTACCCGTGGCCGTAGCCCTGCCCGTGGCCGCCGTAGCCGTGCCCATGGCCGCCGCCGCCGCCGTAGCCCTGCCCGTGGCCGCCGCCGCCGTGCCCATGGCCGCCGCCGCCGCCGTGGACGAGGTTGGACACGTAGCCCTTCACGCCGCCGTTGTGGCCGTGCATGTCGTGCCCTCCGCCCATGTTGCTCTCGTGATGGATCGGATGCGCGCGCTATACCTCGATCGAACCCGTGCTCTGCTTCCTGCTCCCTGCCCTCAGCTGGCCTCTGCTGCGGCGGAGTGTGGGTGTGCCCGAATTTATAGCGCCTCCCGCGCACCTTTCGAGGTGTGCCGAATCCGCACACGTACCACCGCCGACCTCGATTATGCAATATTCTTCGAGGAGCTTCATATCAGGCTGATCGATAAGGCCGTGTATTGGATTCCAATTCTCTTGCCCAAATGCAAAGGGCCGACGAGATGCTTGCCATATTTCACGGCTAACATTCCACGGCCACAAAACCGCACACCTGGCACGTCTCATCCCCGTGCATACCTGAACTTTTTATTATGCCTCTGTTTTTTTATATATATCGCATTAAGTTTGTCATAAATCAAACATTTATATATTTAGTTATCAATTACAAAAAAAATCTATGTAGTTTCGTAACATGTTCATTGTATATTATAAAAGAATTTTTTGAAAACATAGATATTATACTGTTAACCGAGTTTTTTTAATAAAATAATGGTTATAAAGATAGAAATATTTGATTTAAGATAACACATGTGAAAAAACGGAGAGGGTACAATCGTCATAAAAAAATATTGTAAACGGGCCTCCAGTATTTTCCAAGCTAGTCTGGGTTAAATGGACCTGTTTTAACAAATGGACTTTCACAGGGCCTCAGGTTGGCAAGTCCTCATGGGCTTCCAAGCCTATACAAAAGTCCTAAATCGAGTACTACCCGCCGTCCCGCCTCCTCCCGATGCCCACCGTGGCCGTCCATGACTCCAACCTGTCGAATCCTGGCCGTCCAACCCTCAAGGCCCGTGGCCCGTGGCCCGGATATAAAATTGTGGCTGACGCGGCCCGAGTTCCGACACCAAAATTTCTCCTCCCGGCTCCCGTTACCCCGTGTCTCGTGGCGACGACTGAGCGACCGCCGTCGCCCTCCGCTGCCGCCGCCAGTCGTTCGGGCCCGGCGACGACCACCCACCAGGTACGCCCACTGCTTCTCCTCCCTTTCTTGCTGTGCGGAACCAAGCTCCCAAACCCTAAATCGCGCTATTTATACTCTAAAATAAATCACGCTATTTATACTCTAAAATAAATAAATCACGCTATTTATATTTGGATCCGATCTAATTACAAATCTGTACATTTTGATTTTTTGTTTGCGAAAATTGTCAGTATGTACACCCATGTCATGTCCTTTATTATGTGATTGCGTGCAGATGGATCTGTAATCTTTGCTAGGTCAATGCTAGGTCAAGTATGGAAGTTTTGCTCGATTGTAGCGCCTACTTGTTTCGAGTTTTTGCTATTAGTAGTAGTACTACTCGCCATTGAAATGACCTGACTGACTTGAATGCACCGTGAGATGTTTGGGTGTTAGGGTCGCCTTTTGTATCATGTGTTTTTCTCTGTTTCGATGCTTCCTTGCTTTATATTCTGGGTACAAATGCAGAGATGCTAATATAATCGATTATGTATTGCAGGCAAGATGCCCCGCTATGATGATCGTTACGGTGGGAACACACGGCTGTATGTGGGTCGTATCTCCTCCCGTACAAGGACACGGGACCTTGAAGACCTTTTCGGCAGATATGGGAGGTCAGCAAGCTGGTTCTAAACCTGAGATGTTGTGTGTGCTTTTCATGAAACAAAGTTTTTTTTAAAAAAAATTGACGAGTTATGGATGCTTTTGATCTGTATTCCGATGTTTTTTTAGCTCCGTCCAATTTACAGAACTACTTATGCAACTTAGGCCCTGTGTGGATTCCACTAAGCTTGGGATCCAAAAGCCCAGCTTTTGTGCTCCACAAGCTGTATGTCCCTAGCGTTTTGGATCTACCTATTGGATAGTATATAGCATTTGGCCTGTATGCTTATACCATAATGGCATAACCAAATTCCATGAAAAGGTAGCAGGAAGGTTTAAAACCTGTTTGGTTTGCAGGTGATAGCAGAATGACTATGAAATCCCCTTACAAATTGTTGTATCTTTGAGATTGAACCCTTAATTAATTGGATGTAACAATATATTTTGCATGGTATTAGCACATAACATGCCTTTCTCACCTGCTTGAAGTGACACCTATTTCGACATGATCCTACATAATATAAGACCTCGGTTACAAGGAAATCACCGTAAGCTATGCTACTTTTTTCCTTCTGGAAGCTTGTCCATTGATATCTAATCAATTGATTGAAATGAAATAAAATACTTTTGTTCTTTGCTTTCCTTGATCTGAAAATATATGAAAAACCCCATTAGAATCTCTGTTACCTGGCATCTTAGGCTGCTGTGTACTGTCATGCTCAGCATTGTTTTTATTAGAATTAGATCCACACGCCCTTCATGTTTTAACTTGGATGATCTTGTTGAAGGTTTTGGGGGCTTACCCAACCTCGGTGTCCATGGTGGGAGGGTGCCCTTGGTGCAATTGCTGGCTGTTCTCCCAAAGTTGAAACTTTGCTGATTCTTTTGAAAAAAAAAACTGTTTTAATGGAAATTCACAGTCATGACTTGTTTAGTTCTTTCTGGCCGACGATTCATTTCTCTACTTGCTTCTTGACGCGTTTCTGAAACCATTTCCATGAGAGTGCGTTATGTGGATATGAAGCATGAGTTTGCGTTTGTTGTAAGTGGTCTCGCTCTACTTCAGGCTCATGAGTTATTTTTGTCAACTAAATAGCTTTTTACTTTTTTCACATATACGAGGCCTCCTTTTTCTGAATTGTATTGCAGGAGTTCAGTGATCCCCGGGATGCTGATGATGCAAGGTATCACCTTGATGATAGGGAGTTCAATGGTAGCCGATTGATTGTTGAGTTTGCAAAAGGGGTAAGCTACAACGGCCCTCTGTAATATGTAATTTATTCCTTTTCCTGTTTTATGTTTTTATTATTATCTGATTCCTTGTTCCACCTGAATGCAATTTTCATTGCAATTTAGGTTCCACGTGGCCCAGGAGGATCCCGTGAATATATGGGCAGTAGACCGCCTCCTGGTTCTGGCCGCTGCTTTAACTGTGGTATGGATGGGCACTGGGCTCGTGACTGCAAAGCTGGTGACTGGAAAAACAGATGCTACCGCTGTGGAGATAGGGGCCATATAGAAAGAGACTGTCAAAACAGCCCTAAGAATCTGAGGTACCTCCTGTGAGATTTCTTCTTTTTTACAATTAGAATCATTTTATGCCTGAACGTAAGTTCTCTTTTTTCAAAGTAGGCGTGGAAGAAGTTACTCAAGATCCCCATCCCCTTGTCGCGAAAGGAGCCTTGATAGGAGTTACAGCAGGAGCCGCAGTAGGAGCTATAGGTATGTGACTGTGTATTTCGATTTAACCAATTGGTTGCTATATTAGTACTTTCATTTTATTTGTCATGATGATGATGTCCCATGGAGTCCTATGGTTGATACTTTAGCTTATACGACATCTCAAACACATAACGATCTGAATCAGAGCATTATTATTTTCTAGTTGTGCATATCCTTGGCTGCCATAGTGATGTTCTGGCTGTTGTATGGGTTACTTGCGAGTACAATATAGAATATGCTAAACTACTCAGAATGCTCCAAATATATTTTTAGTGATTTGGTATGACAAAAAGCTGATTGTTGATTTGGTAAGGTATAAAATGCTTTTTAATTTGATTAAAGTTCTGTGTTCTGATTCAGTTATTTCTTCCTCTGCTCATCTTTGTGAAGTTTGTAGTGTCAAGCACTAACATTGTATTCTTTCCTTTTCATAGTCGTTCACGATCTCCAAGGCGGAACAGACGTGATGAAAGGAGCCCTCGCGACAGCCGCAGCCCTAGGAGGAGCCCTTCCAAGGGAAGAGACCGCAGCCCCAGCCCTAATGGTAGCAGGAGCCCTGCACCAAGGGAACGCAATGGCTCGGATTATAGCATGAGCCCAAGGAGACCTGACAGCCGTAGTCCCTCAGACCGCGTGCGCCGTGAGATCAGTCCAGCAGCCAATGGTCGTAGCCCTAGCCCAGGGGTCAATGATAACGGCAATCACCGCACATCCCCCTGAATATGTTTCTGGGATGGGTTTTCCCCCTATGTTTGTTAACCATCCCAAACATCTTTATGATTAGGGCTGGTTTTTTGTGTTTATTATGCATTGGATAAACCATACCATCTGTTACTTGTAACTTTAAAGTGCACATGGATCATTTTTGCTTGCTCTTATTATTCTATTATGAAAAAAAAATTATGCGTGCAAAGATGGTTTGTGGGACTAGGGCGGGATTGCATTATTAGCACATAACATCATCACATTTTCGTCTGATATATCTCAGATGAATAGATATGCTCTACATTGCCACATTGGTGGTGTTGCCTTCTTACTCTGTCGATGTTTAAACTCTTGGCGAGTAATTTTCAATACATGTATTCTTTTTTATCAAAAATGATTATTTCTGGAATGTAGAAACCTCAACCTTTCCATTATTCATGCATTGCAGCCTGAACGTTTGTTAATCTGATGGTGTACTAGCCATAAATCCATCAGATTTCCTTATTTTCGCATCGTCTAACATTCTCTGCACTTCATCTGCCGCCCACATTGACCATCTGCCAGAAGACACCTCGCATGGACACATCTACATCGGTGAAGTTGGCGTCAGTGACACCTCTCCTCTCCCTCCTCGCAGCCGGCTTCGTTCTGATGCGAGCTTGCCCGACGAGAATCCAAAGGCGGCGTCAGCTCGCGCACCAGGCTCAAGCTGTTGACGTCGGAGAACTCGAGGCCGTTGTCGTCCTGCAGCCGCATCACGAACTGCAGGCTCCACACGACGTCCTCCATCGCCGGCCTGTCCTCGCCTCGCGCCGCGAGGCACCCGGCCGCCGTCTCGCCGTACTTCCTCAGCGCCTGGGGCCTCACCTCGGCGGCGATCCTGCGGTCGACGATCTTGTCCAGCTCGCCCCTGCCCTGCCAGTGCAGAGCCCACTCCACCAGGTTCACCATCGGCTTGGGGAGCCTCGGGTCCACGACGGGGCGCGCGCACAGCGCCTCCAGCAGCACCACGCCGAGCGAGTACACGTCAGACTTGGTGGTGAGCTTCCTCGTGCGCACGTACTCCGGGTCCACGTACCCGAAGCTGCCCTTCACCGCCGTGCTGACGTGCGTCTCCTCGAGCTCCGGCCCGGCCCTGGACAGGCCGAAGTCGGCGACCTTGGCGGCGAGGCCGCCGTCCAGGAGGATGTTGGACGACTTGACGTCGCGGTGGATCACCGGCTTGGGCATGGCCGTGTGCAGGTAGAGGAGGCCCCTCGCCGCGCCGGCGCAGGCCTCCAGCCTCTGCGCCCAGCCGAGCGCCGCCCGCCCCGCGGCGCCGCCGCCGTACAGGTGGCTCCTGAGCGAGCCGTGCTCCATGTACTCGTAGAGCAGGATCATCTCATCGCCCTCGTCGCAGTAGCCGACGAGGGACACGAGGTGGCGGTGGCGCAGGCCGGACAGCAGCTCGATCTCCGTGCGGAACTCCCGCGCTCCCTGCCGCGACTCCGGGCTCGCGCGCTTCACGGCCACGCTGGTGCCGTCCGGGAGCGTCGCGCGGTACACCTTGCCGAAGCCGCCGGCTCCGATGACCAGGCCCTCGTCGAAGTCGTTGGTCGCGTCTCGCAGCACAGCGAACGGGAAGCGGTAGCTCGGGACCGGAACCTGAGATGCAGCGATGGGGATCGCTCCTGGCATGTCTCTGTCGACGGCGAATTTGGATGACCCTGCTCCGCTGGCGCCCGGTCGTCGGCTGCGCAAGCTCAGCCGATCGAGGAGCGGCATCCATGGAGTCGGCGACTGGCTCCGGGACGACGACGGTGTAGGCAGCACCTTCTCCTCTTTCTTCCTAAGGAAAATGACAAGGACAGCAGCAACGGACACGACGGCGAATGCTCCACAGATTGAGCCCAAAACGATGGCCAAATGCCGCGTCTTTGATCCTGCCGCCGGCTCGACGACGACGACAGAACCTGAGCTGAAGTGCATCTTCATGATCTCTATCCCGTTAAGGATGGGAGCTTGCAAAATACTACTATTACTCATGTTCATCACCGACGACGAGCCAACGTAGATTGCGATCTTGCCGGATGGGTTGCTGGAATCCAAGACGAAATCCCTGTAGTACGGGAAGGCCAAAGTGCCATTACCTATCGTGGAGAGATCAAGATCTTTCACCACCGTGTAGCTGTCCACGTACACGTCGACGCGGAGGAGGTGAGGCGCCCTGCTCACGATGTCACACAAGTGAAATCTGATCAGGTAGCTCGACGGCTGCGAGTCCACGTCGAACTGCCACGTCATCTGCTTCGACGAGTCCAGCCAGCTCGACAGGGTTAGCTCCCTGGCCGTGGCGTACACGACGTCCGGCGCGTCGTCACGCGTCGCCTCCCCGGGGAGGTAGTTCAGGCTCCCGTTATAGGCCTCCTCCCGGGTGACGGCAGAGCCGACCAAGACGCGCTCGTCGGTGGTCCATTCCCGCGTTAGCGTGTCGCCGTCGGCGGCGACGGCGGGGCCGCCAACGTTGACCCTGTACGCGGTTTGCAGCGGCGTCATGGCCGGGTCGAGCAGCTGGCCGGACGACGTCTGTACCGGGCGAGCGATGAGGTCGTCGGGGACCGAGACGACCTCGACGGCGTTGACGAAGGCGAGGGCCCCGGCCAGCGGTACGAACGTGACGACGAGCGTCTCCCGTTTCACGTACAGCAGGAACTCCCTGCGCACCGGCGAGGTCGTGCCGTCCGTCGTCTTATTCTCCGGTGCAAAGCCGTCCATCAGGACGACGTCCTGCGTCGACACCTTGAAATTCGCGGAGGCGAGGTCGTAGCCCTGGCACGCGAAGGGGAAGAAGTGGAGGCGGACGAAGTGGCGGCCGCGGCGGCTGATGCGGAAAGAGTAGGACGACGGCGCCGTGAACACCCTGGCTGTCTGGTACAGCGCCGGCGCGGCCTCGTCGGAACCCGACGCCGCCGTGTCGGGCGAGGCTTTCACGGCGGCGCTTTTGGGCGCCGTCAGGGTGACGGAGCCGGAGGTGGAGTCATCGTCGGCGACGAAGACCCTCCGGCCCACCCTCGTGTTGACCGAGGAGCCGCAGCTGATGAGGTAGTTGTCTGCCGGAGTGTACGCAGTGCAGAAGCGGGAGAGGATCGAGATGATCCCCACGAAGCTCAGAGCCAAGTGGAGCTTAGCCGTGGCGGCCATGGAAGATTAAAAGTTCGACGGAAACCTACAGACGAAATCATAAAGATTGTCTTTAGTCTGTAGTTTCAGTTTAGATTGTATCCGCAGGTAAGAGAAACTAGAGCGGAATTCAGGCTGCTAACAATCAGGTACTTAGATTTCTGTGTCTATCTTCTACTTTTTTTTGCGTAAATACAAGAACTTGGCGATGAGAATCAGAAGTACCTTGAGAAGTATTATGACTGGTGGACTACTGCTGCACGGCAAGCTTTACTCACATGCCAGCATGCAAGACATCATCAGCTCTGATTCTCTGAAGAATATGAATCCCACGGACAAGAACTCACAGAGCCAAGCCGTTACAAGGTTCCATGCCCCCCTCTTGGATAACAGCTACTGGTACTCAGGATACAACAGGAGTCACAGAATACCGAACTGCCAGATTCGAGCCAAACTACAAAGATCCAAACAGAGAGCTCTCAGCGATGGCAACTCCCCCTTTCCTTGGGCTTCTGGATTGGCAGAAGCTTACACCTAGGCAAGTCGAAGAAGCACGACGACGAGCGCGTCCTACTCTGAATGAAAGGAACAGCTCAGTGTCAACTGTCAAAGCCAATCAATGGGTTCAGTCACACGACAAGCAGCAGTGTTAGATAATACTGCACGCATCCCTTGTGTGAATGCGCAGCAGGGAAAGGCGGCGTCGAGAAGGGCTTCCTGCTGCGGCACTATAGCAACTGCAGGGGCAGGCGTCGAACGGCTCACCCGCCGTACTGTAGCCACATGCAGGGACAGGCACTAGAGTCAGACCTGCTGTGTTATATAGTCACTGTACCAGCATGGTAGCTGTATTAGGACTAGATGGATAGAGTTGCATATATAGTTTGCCACTGCAACTCAGTAAAGAGAGTTCAGATTTGCTATTTCCTATATAGGGCTCTGGGCAACGCTGATGTCTCTGCTGTGTGTGTATGCTCTGTCCTCCCTTCTTCTAGCTCTAGCCATAGAGTGTGGTCGGACAACTCTGGTTCCTGGTCGACGTAGCTAGTGGGTGCTCGGCAACACTAGAAGGTGCTCGACAAGACTGGTGAGAGGTCGACTCACCTGAGCCGATAATCCTGTGGGCTAACAAGTGGTATCAGAGCCGTACAAGCGTCCTCGTCAGATTAACCGCTGGCGATGACGAACGGTTCGGAGATAGACGACAACAGTGGCACTGCTATGGCTGTCCAATCACGACAGGAGGTCGTTGTTCGCACGGTGCGGTAGGTCAGTAGCACCAGTTGGCCGACGCTGACTCGCACCAACTATGGAGAGTGATCAGTGACCATGAAGGTCAAGCTCAGAGCCCGACGGCTCTGGAATGCTGTTGACAAGGGCACCGACAGTGAAGAAGATGATATGTCAACGTTGGAGGCTATCCTCACTGCTGTACCGGCGGAGTACAGAGAGCCGTTGAGGGTGAAGAGCTCCGCTAAGGAGGCGTGGGAGGCTATTGCGGCGATACGCGCCGGTTCCGACCGCGCAAAGAATGCGACGATCCGGCTTCTAAAGTAGGAGTACGCCAACCTCAAGTTTAAGGATAGGAAATCGGTGGAGGATTTCTCCCTCTGCCTGCAGACGCTCATTAGCAAGCTGAAGAGTCACGGCGTCACCATCGATGAAGATGAGACGGTCTTCAAGTACCTCCACTCCGTGCCGGCAAAGTACATCCAAATCGCTCTCTCCATAGAGGCGATGTTGGACTTGTCTACCCTCACCATTGAGGATGTGGCAGGCCGTCTGCAGGCGGTGGACGAGCGCCTAGAGCAGGCGATAGCAACGAAGGACAGCGGCAAACTGCTGCTGACAGAGGAGGAGTGGGATGCTCGGAGGAACTCCGGGGTAGCTTCCTCTAGCCGCGGTGGCGATGACAAGCGCCGTGGCAAGGCTTTTTCGGAGAGGAAGAAGCAGGTCGACCCCAACACCTGCCGGCGCTGCGGGAAGATGGGCCATTGGGCACGGGAGTGCCCAAATCATAAGCAGGAGAAGAAGGCTAAGGCTCATCTAGCGCAAGCTGATGATGAGGATGAGGCCACTATCCTGGTGGCGACGTTCTGTGCGCTGCACGACGTTGAGGCCGAGGAGAAGGGAGAGGTGACGGCGGTGGAAGGCCCTGAAGGCTGTTAACCTCGACGAACCATGCGCCCAAGTCCACCTCGGGCGTGTGGGCACCGACCAGGAGCAGCGGTGGTATCTGGACTCTGGTGCCAACAACCACATGACGGACTCCAAGAAAGCCTTCTCCGAGCTCGACGACGACGTCACCGGTACGGTGAAGTTTGATGACAGCTCAAGGGTGGCAATCCGAGGACGCGACACCATCATCTTCAGGTGCCAGAACGGGGAGCACCACGCGCTAACGGATGTATATTACATCCCGCAGCTGCGTTCAAGCATCATCAGCATTGGTCAGCTGAATGAGCGCGGGAGCGAGGTACTGATCAAGCACGATATCCTTAGGATCAGGGACCGGGAGCAGAGACTTCTTGCCAAGATAAAGAGGTCCTAGAACCGGTTGTACCTACTCGACCTGAAGGTAGAGCAGCCGGTGTGCCTAGCGGCAAGGCACACATAGGAGCCGTGGCTGTGGCATGCTCGGTTCGGACGTCTCAGCTTTGACGTGCTTGGTTGGCTGAAGAAGATGGCCCGAGGGCTACCCCACATCAAGCACGAAGGCGAGCTATGTGACAGCTGCCTGGCCCAGAAGCAGAGGAGGCTACCATTCCGAAAGGTGGCCAAATATCGCGCGTCGGACGCTCTCGAGCTCGTCCACGGTGACCTCTGTGGGCCGATCACACCAGCCACAAATGGTGGTCGGCGGTACTTCCTCTAGCTCGTGGATAATAGCTATCGCTACATGTGGCTGCAACTCCTGATGAGCACAGACGAAGCGACGGCGGCGATCAAGAAGTTCAAGATGCGCGCGGAGGCCGAGAGCGACAAGAAGCTCCGCACGCTGAGGACTGATCATGGCGGCGAATTCACTTCAGTGGAGTTCGCTGCGTACTGCGCGGATCAGGGTGTGGTGCGACACCACACCACACCGCGTCGTACTCGCCATAGCAGAATAGCGTGGTGGAGCGACGGAACCAGACGGTGGTCGTCATGGCTCAATCCATGATGAAGGCTAAGGGAATGCCAGCAAGGTTCTGGGGTGAGACGGTGACCATGGTGGTGTTCATCCTCAACCGTGCTCCCACCAAGGCCCTAAAGGGCAAGACGCCGTTCGAAGCTTGGTATGGGTGGAAGTCGAGCGTGTCCTTCCTCCAGACATTCGACTGCATCGGCCACGTTAGGAAGACGAAGTCGATCCTCACCAAGCTGGAGGACAGGAGCACACCGATGGTGTTCCTAGGCTACGTGGAGGGTACCAAGGCATATCAGCTCTATGACCCACATAGAGACAAGGTGCTTGTTTCGCGTGATGTCGTGTTCGACGAGAAGGTGGCTTGGGACTGGAACAGTCCAAGCACGGGGGAAACTGGTGGCTTCACCAGCACCTTCGTCGTTGAGCACTTAGTCATCCACGGTGGTGGAGACGCTGGGGAAGAGGTGTCGAGCACTCCGGGAGGGATGCCGAGCACTCCAGCAACAGAGCCGAGCACTCCTGGGACAATGCCGAGCACTCTTGGAGGGATGCCGAGTACGCAGGAGTGGTGCCAGGAGGTTCTGCAGTGGTGGCGACCACTCTAGGACGGATGCCGAGCACTCCCGTAGCAGAGCCAAGAGGTCTTGCAGTGGTGCCGACCACTACAAGACTGAGGCCGAGCACTCCTACAGTGGTGCCGAGCACTACAAGAGTTGTGACGAGCTATCCAGGAGTAGTGTCATGCACTGCATCCGAGGTGCCGAGCACTCCAGGTGCTGAGCCGATCACTCAGGAGGAACAGGGAACTCCATCGATGCCGATCGAGTTCGCCTCACCTCCGAGTGACATCACTGAGTTCATGGATGCCTTCCACGAAGGTGAGGAAGTGTGGTTCCGCAGGATGGACGACCTCGTCGGTGGCACAGGGCCCTCAGACCTAGCGGGTAGGCTGCTCAATGACCCTGAGCTGCTACTTATCAGTGCTGAGGAACCACCCACGTTCGCGCTAGCCGAGCGTGATGGAAACTGGTGACGAGCGATGCTGGAGGAGATGAAGCCGATCGAGGAAAACGAGACTTGGGAGCTCGTCGATCCACCTCTAGGATGCTGTCCGATCAGCCTGAAGTGGGTGTACAAGGTCAAGCGGGACAAGCACGGCGCCATTGTCAAGCACAAGGCGCGCCTCGTGGCCCGAGGCTTTGTCCAGCGCGAGGGCATCGACTCCGAGGAAGTCTTTGCGCCGGTAGCGCGCATGGAGTCTATCCGTTTGCTACTAGCTTTGGCAGCAGCAAAGGACTGGCGCGTCAATCACCTAGACGTTAAATCGGCCTTCCTCAACGGTGAGCTGGCGGAAACGGTCTTCGTCAGGCAACCTTCGGATTTCGCCATCAAGAGAGAGGAGCACAGGGTGCTCCGACTGCGCAAGACGCTCTACGGGTTGCGGCAAGCCCCACGAGCGTGGAACGCCAAGCTTGACACCACGCTGGGCGAGCTTAGGTTCACGAGGTGCTCATCGTCGGCATGTATGTGGACGACTTGATCGTCACCGGCGCGTGCACGGAGGACATCGACAGCTTCAAGCGTAAGATGGCGGCTCATTTTTGAATGAGCGATCTCGGGGCGCTCACCTACTACCTCGACATCGAGGTGAGATAGAGGAGGGAGGCACTCACGCTCGGTCAGAGCGCGTACGCCTCGAAGCTATTGGAGCGGAGCGGCATGGCTGAGTGTAAGTCATGCGTAACTCCGATGGAGGAGTGGCTGAAGCTGACAAAGGCCAGTACCGTGGCGAAGGTGGATGCAACACTTTACCGGAGCATCGTCGGACATTGCGTTCGTCGTGGGCTACGTCAGTCGCTTCATGGAGGATCCCATAGAGGATCGCTGGGCT